TGAATAAACAGTTCCTTCTGGATTTCTTTTATAGAACTCACAAGTTAGAACTATATTAGATTTTGTCGGCTTTTCTTTTCTATTTATTAGATTAACAATCTTCGACTTATTCCTTTCTAGAAATATATTCGGATCTATTCTTCCACCTTCTATTTCATAAGTATTCAGAAAGCCTCGCATAGCCGTCGCCTTCTTTTGAATTCCGGAAATTCTAGCAGAAATATCGGTAAAATCATCTCTGCTAAGACTAGTAAGACCGTCCATAAGTAACTGAAATTCGTCATTCACACTCATCCTTATATATAATAAATATAAAACTTATTCACAAGAGCGAACCTTTATTAAAATAGACGCTCTATTATTAAATCCCATAGTAGTGGTAATTTTTACCTAAAATCGCGTTTTTTAACCAAAAATCGGGTGGCTAGCCGTGTGGACGTGAGCTAGAAAAGAATTAAAAAAGTGAGCCAGTTTCGGCCTATTACCACTACTATTGGTACTTGACCCAGCGACCTAGGTTTAAGTGATTTACACTTAACCCAAGTGTTTCTTCAACTTGATTTAAGTGATCTCTTTTCACAGTGTTCATGTTGCAATTGAGCGATATAGGCCACATGTTCTACAATGTCGTAAASATTATATTCGTTGGCGTTTGAGAATTGATCCTGGCAGACTGTATTTCTTTGATGAAACTTCTTTCACATCAGAGACGGATCTTCGCGATTGGGGGCGAGTCGAATCTGGATATCCGGTTGCTTCCTATAGAAATAAATTACCATYATTGCCTAAATATTCAGTGGTTGGTTAATGAGGATGGAACGAGGGCTTCATTCAAGCCATTCCTTTTCAAGGAAACTTCAACACCGATTTGATAAATGAAGTTATTGAAAATCAACTCGTTTCCCTCATAACAAGACATAGCTTTTTAGTGTGTGACAATGCCAGTATACACAATAATGCTCATTTGGCTAGAATTCTTTCCAATAARAACATAACTCCAGTGAAACTTCCAGCCTACAGCTATGATTTGAATCCCATTGAGATGGCGTTTGRCCTAGCCAAAGCTCTTTGCCGCAAAACACCCGAGGCATTGCGTCAAAACATTGCAATAGGGATTCTAGATGCATTTCTGGGAACAAATGTCCAAGCTATGAGAAGATTCTACGGGTAGGCATGGAAAGTAATTCAATTAACGCGTTCATGTATTCATGTAAACTTCAAGCAATAGTATACAAATRCATGACTCATTTATATCTATTAAAACCAATTGCGGGAAAATATTTGTTTTGGARTTATCCCACATCAGAGAAATTTTGATTCAAAAGATGGAAGAACAAAAGGATKGAGTAAATGACGTCATCTACTCCAACATTTTTTGCCCAAATTATTTAGGATTTGTATCAATATTTTCTTGAAATCTGTTGCTTCATGATTACTACACCCATATGGATAGGTCTATTTGATTTTCAAGTCTTTTCTAATGTTTCGCAGTTTTCGTTCAAGTAGCCCTTTAATAAAACTCACTCATACAAATTATTCAAAATAAAGATTTTTGYTGTTKTTTGTCCATTTTCTTGAGTATTTGTTTTCCCTTGCGTATTGGTATTAAGATTGTTCCGGTTGAGTGATAATTAACAATTAGATCTCGAGGTCGAGTGGACTACGAGCTAATAGCCAATGAGGCTGAGGCTGAGGCTGAGTCCGYGAGGCCGAATAGGCTATTAGCTCGTAGTCCACGAGGCCGAGAGGTCTAATTGTTTTAGTATACTTATCGGTCAAATAATGAAAACAGATTAAAATATCCTTAAAATAATTTATTAATGAGATGCCGTCATTTTGATTTTCCAGCGAGCATCCATAACTTTCCTTAGCTATCCATAGCTATACCTGAGCATCCATAGCTATCGTTAGCTATCCATTACTATCCCTGACCATCAATAGCCATCCTTATCTATCCATAGCTATACCTGAGCATCCATAGCTATCGTTAGCTATCCATTACTATCCCTGAGCATCCATAGCTATCCTTAGCTATCCATAGCTATACCTGAGCATCTATAGCTATCGTTAGCTATCCATGAATATCCCTGAGCATCCATGGCTATCCTTAGCTATCAATAGCTATACCTGAGCATCTATAGCTATTGTTAGCTATCCATTACT